TTGTCAAAAAGCCTGTGTTTTTAAGGTTGTTAACAAAGTTTATGTACTCAGACCAGTAATATTTGGGGTCACAAGTTTTTGCCATGAATATTTTGTGGGTCAGAAGATAAAAAGTTTGGGAACCATTGCTCTAGACGGGTTCTTCTTTAATGAAATGGACGTTCTCACCACCTAATAAAAAATGAACAGGTATTAAAATGTTTTGTAGGAATGTGTGAACAGAAAAATAATATATTTACTCAAAGTATGTTTGTTTCAAGACATGTGTGCGCTTCACTGTTTGAACTTTGGAATATTTGTGACRTTTTGTTCTGAACAAAACCTTAAATGTAAAAACAAAAAGGAAATTTAGACTTTTTTGGGTGATGATTTTATTGGTTTTCTCACTGTAGTAAAGTGTCAAAATCAGCTTCAGGTATGAAAACATYTGTAAACATAAACCTTTGCGTACAGATTGTTACAGTTTCAGATTTTATAAAGCAAACTTTTAGGATGTGAGCTAGCTAAATGTATCAAAACTGTAAAAACGGGGAAACTAAATCTACGACAAAAATCCAGTATTGAAAGAAAGTTTAGTTTACAACAAACAAACAAGTAAAAGTGTGTGTGCCTGTTTGAACGTGTCCTTGTTTTCAGAACGCTAAGCTAACGCCTGGTTCTTCTGGTTAGACAAAAGACTTCAACAATACTTTTTTCTCATCTGGTTCTTAAAAAATGACAAACTGGTATGCTTTCCAATCCGTGTAAGGTTCTTTCTTTTGTTTATACCATTTTCAAAACAAATTCGTACAAAGTACAACTGGTTTTTTTTTCCGTTTTTTAAAAACTAAATGTAAAAATGTCAAATTGAACTACTGGTAAATAAAAATCCAGTGTTTGATTTTTGCTTCAGCTCTCTAAATCCAAAATAAAATATACGGTTATAGTTTTAATATGTAGTAATTTTGGAAATGATGGAAGAGTTTATAGTGGTTGGAAGAAAACTGCTTAAATATAAACGGTTCCTAAAGATACCGACCATGGCTTCACTCAGACTCTGTTCTGCATCATTTTGAATATTGAAGTAGTGTTGTTTACGCTAAATAAGACAAACATTCRGTCGTTTCTAAAGGGAAAAAGTAATGTGCCATGATTTCTGGTTTGTTCAGGTCACAAATGGTGCCAAACAGAATATAAAGTTTGTCTTTGGTTTAACCATTAAAATAAAAAAACATAGCCTTTTTCTGTTTTGCAATTGCTGTTTTTCTGATTGAGGTTTAAAACAAAACTAAAAACAAGACACCCGATTATTTATTATTTTATTTTGAAAAGAAAAATCAAAGAACAAACCATACGCAGATTCTTATTAAACCTCCTTTATTTTTTCAAGTGTAACTTCGTCATGAGGTAGTAAATTTAGATAATTAAAAAGAACTGAAACATAAAACTGCAGAGTTTCTTTCTCTCTTGTCCTGTAACATTTCTGCAGTCTGCAAGCACCGAGGGYTACAGGACTTAAATCTGGTCTCTGTGTCAGACAGTAAACAGTAAGAACTGAGGCCTGCAGCTAAAAGGAAAAAAAACTGGATGGATGCATTCATTCGACACAAAAGAGTCTTTTCAGCTGCGCCTCGATGATGACCAGTGTTCAGACAGATATTCACTCAGATATTTTCAACACATAATGACTCATCCAAGTTTCAGTCAGGCCTGGTTTGTTATCAGAAAATCATTTCACGTGAAATTCTTAATTTAAAATTAGATTCATGTGCTTCAATATTATTTAAAAAGAAATCTTGAATTCAGCACAAACTGTTTTGTTTTATTGGTTTGTAGGTTTTGGTTTATCAGGCCGGAGCTGCCCGCCGGGGGGGGGATAAGGTTCGACCCTTCTTAATCAGGTCCGAGCAGGGCTCTGAGAGAGACCAGTTTAGATAAAACCCACTGCCTGGTTGCTTTTTAATTACTGATTATTATGAGATGTAGAGCCAGGAGAAAAACAGTGCCTAACTGCAACTGACATCAAAATGTTACACAGTTAAAAACATGTCATACTTGGAAAAATAAAAATCCACCATTTGTTGCCCAAATGACRGTTGACTCTCACCTACAACCTACCTTAACTGTGCCAGCCATCTTTAACAGTGTTGTACATTTACAACAGCCAGAGTTTATTTCCTAAAAATTAAAATCTATCCAGTGGCTCATGAGATATTTTACTAACAAAGTTGACTAGTTATAAGCAAAGTTGTAAAGTAACTAAGTACAAATACCTTGTTACTGTACTTAAGTAGAATTTTTGGGTATCTATACTTTACTTGAGTAATTTATTTTCAGCCTACTTTTTACTTCTTCTTCTTACATTTTCACACAGTTATCTATACTTTCTACTCCTTACATTTTTTAAAAAAGGCAAGAAGTAGAAAGTTACTTTTATTTCATCTTTGCTTGTTTTCATTCCAGCTTGTTATTGTAAAAAAATAAATACTATCCATATAAATTGTGCTTCCTAGCTAGAGTGAATTTAATTGTGGTTGAATGAGAAGTTTAAATATATAAAATTCTGATACCATATTAGTTTGTACACAAACAAATCATGTCACTTCAGCAGGACATAATCATTCAAATAAAAGGACTGTACTTAAGAAGTATTTGTATTTCATGAATTATATTATTGCATTTGGCAACTAGAAGCACTCGGAGAGTGCAAACCTCCGCCAAGACCAATTTCCCCCATCCTGTAATAGAGTTAATGCGCAAAAGCAGAGATGGAAACACATTTGCCGATGAAGTTCTGACGTAGCGAACATTTAAGCAGGCAGTATGCACTCCCTGTGGAGTCCAATGTGAAAATAATAAATAAATCAGACTCGTCACCCGACTTTATTCATTGTCAAACTGGTGTGGGATTAAGCTCCTAAGTTTTCATCAGTCACATTTCACCATGTAGAACATCTGTTTTATCTCCTTGCATGAGTTTGTAATGGTTTGACTCTATAAAGTGCTTCCTGTCTCCCCCTGTCTCCAAACTTTGAGGCCCAGCAGCTCTCTGTTTACAAGCCTAGTAGCGAGAAACTATTTTGATTGGTTGTTTCGGAAATGTGTTGTGTTTGAGGAAATGGGAAAAATAGGTTTCATGGTGCAGTCACGCACTTCCTGGTCAGCAAACGTTCTCTAAATGCGCACCAAATGTGTAAAAATGTGCACATTATGGCAAAAATTATTCATTAAATCTGGTTTTACCATTACTTTTATAAAGTTTGAAGTCCTTGCTGTCGAATCCAGTTCAAATGAACACTGAAAGCTCTCACTGTTTTATTCCAGAAGACCTGTGAAAGCATCACAGCTTTGCCGATCTCAGAGGATTAAAAGAAAAAAATTCCTGTATCCGCATCGTGTTCCTGAACATCACCAAAATGTAATGGTGTGTTACTTGGGCCAGTATCCAGTAAAAATGTCATGACAATCCGTCCACAAGTTTTTGAGTAATGTTGTCCACAGACAAACAGATGGACATAACGCGACCGAAAACTTTACCTCACCCGTGGCGGAGGTAATAATATAATTATCTATCTGCAGCCCTCAGATATATTTTCATTATTTTAATACAACATAGTCATTTTTGCAATTTTTGGGGAAGTCACCTCCTAATAAATGTCATTACAAAAAAAATCTAACTCCTCATTTCAAACCAGTACTTTTACTTTTAGTATATTCATTTCATTCATTTCTTTAAAAACAACGTAAATTCAACAACAAACAAAAAAATACAAATCACAATTTAAATCAAAGGTAGCAGAAGAAGAAAAATTCTTATTAAAAGGAAAATAGTTTGCAAGTTATAAATAAATATGTATG